AGATATATCATCGTAAATAATTATCGAGTTTTGTCGAGCCTCGTTCGGTGACACCATTTGTTTGTGTTCCGTAAAAGGAAAATCCTCGACGCCGGGCACGGTATCGAGTAAACGCTCTAGAAACCTGTACTTTGGTTGATCCAACGATTTCGAATACACGTAAACGTTTTCGAATCTTAATCCATTAGGATGAATAATGAGAGCGAGCAGCGCGTTTGTTTTATCGCAATTGGATGGCCCGCAAAACTCCGCGCGTACACTGTTTGGCAATAATTCGCCGTGCCTCTTCCTCTCTTTTTCCACTCCTTCAAGCTCGTCGAAATTCATTACAGGTAATTGCAAGGACTGTGTCTTGACCTCATCCCGCCTGCGAGTAATGTAAAAGCTATAAATATTGGATCTATAAAGGTCATAGTTTAGTTGGAGTCGTTCCGCGATAGGAAGTGGATATGATCGTGCATGGTAAGCGACGCAAAGGGGAAGGTTTGGTTAAGAGGATCATTAACAGTCTTTCCGTTGAATTGCATATGCCCGGCTATCAGTACTATGAGCCTGGCACGAGGTGATCCTGGTATTAAGCCCCTTGACACTGCTTGTAAAGAGCACGACATCGCCTATTCAAAGAATCGAGAAAATCTCGAGCAGAGGGGCAGCGGACCGAATGCTGGCCGAAAAAGCTTGGAAACGCGTTTTTGCGAGTGACGCCGACATGACCGAGAAAGCGGCCACTTTCACCGTCGCGAACCTAATGAAGGCTAAATCTAAATTTGGTATGGGGTTCAAGAAAAGGAAGATATTGCTGCGAAAAGTTATCGATGAAGCGAAACGATGGATGATTTCGAGTAACGATGCGCGGATCGCCATCAAATCTGCCCTCAAAGAGGCACAAATGGCCCTTAAACGGGCCGATGGAAAACGTAACGTGCGTACACCGCGAATTTTACCCGTGCCATCCAAAGTCGGAAGTGTCTTGCCATTTCTCGTTCCCGTGTTTGCGGTTCTAAGTGCCGCTGGAGCGCTGGCCGGTGGAGCAGCGGATATAGCTAAAGCCGTAAACGACGCGAACGCATCCAAAGCAAGATTGAAGAAAAGCGAAAGGCACAACAAGACGATGGAAGCGATTGCATTGGACAAAGGACTATACTTGAAACCCTATAAGAAGGATTAGATATTCACGTAAAGCCAAAGAACTTAAAATGAAACTACCACGCAGAGTGTTAACTGATGCGGATCTGCTCAAGTACGCGAAAATCATAAAGATTGGGCATTTTCGAGGAGTCTTTATGAGAAACGCCATGCCGCAGAATGGTCCGTACAGACATGAATCGGCGATCATCAATCTCGATGATGAAGATGGTCTTGGAACGCATTGGGTCGCGTATAATAAGACTAACGATCGAGTTATCTATTTCGATAGTTTTGGCAATCTTCGACCACCTTTAGATCATATGAGGTATCTCGGTATTGGTAGTGCAAAGTACAATTACGAAGGGTATCAGAAGTATGATACTTTCGAATGTGGTCACTTGTGCTTAAAGTTTTTGTGCGGACAATTAAATCGTACGAATAAGTATCGTTTATATAAATGTAAGACGTAGTTTTGCGACGTCAGTCTAACGTCTGCGATCATGGAAGATTCACTCACGTTAACTTTGTCGGGCACCTCCTCTGTACTCGAAGCTCAATACTTTCTTGCGATCGAGCTTTCTCCAAACAAAAAATATGCCATCGGACTCATCAAGCTGTTAACTTTTGATTCAGTTCCTAACGTGGATACCGGTCACAATAAGTTCTATGTGTGAGATGAAATTATCACAATACCTACCGGAAGCTATTGTTACGTCCCGTCCTTCTTGATGGCAAAAAGGCGGAAAAGGTTGAAGAGATTACAGGGATATGGGAAAGAAAGGGAAGTTAAGGTTCGGGATACCGTCAGATGGTCCTGGAACCAGTTCGTCTAATCTATTTGGACTACTAATGTGGAAAAAAGAAAATAATAAATGGTTTGAATTCCTTAATAAAGCGTTTATTACGGATAGAATAAAACAATTACGATATGATTGATAATGGTTTAAAAAGAAAGATATTAGTGTTATTAAAGGAAAAAACCGTGTGAGGTTAATTAAATTACAAGTATTACACAAGCTTAGCTAGGGAAATAAGATGTAGGCGTACATGGTTTCGATATAATTTACCAATAGAAGAGACTGATAGACACTTGGCGTATTTGCAAAATGGACTCGTCTGAAGTGAGCTGGAACTGGGAACGAACTGAACTGAACTCGCGCTCTTGAGACATAAGCCCTTTTAAAGGGGTTCGTCTTTCCTTTCAGTGACCTAATCGATGAAGTGAGATTTCAAAACGTCTAAACATCGATATCTTTAGTTTGATAATCGATTGGTTTGTCATGCTGTCTAAATTGATATTAGTACGCCGTCTTCCGATTTCCCTTTACAGTTTATAAGGTCTTAGCCTAAATACGCGAGACGCTTGTGAATCAGCTCCAACGAGTGACAATAAAACTCATTAGTACTTAAAGCTAGTGATAATTTATCGGGTGGGTTACGTGGGACGTAACACTATGATATCGAGAGCTATGTACAGAGCGCGTTACAAGATAAGAGTATCATCGTCAACATTAGAGCTAACAATAATACGTTATGCAGCGAGGTTAAATGTAATCGCGACATCAATTTTCTGCGGGACGATTTCATAGGTCGCTTGTTGGGCTTCACTCCGCGCATTTTGAAATCTAATAAATTACACGCGTCCGATGTACCTGTAGCCATTCTCAAAGTGAACGGTCTGTGAGTCGAATGTAACATTACCACGAGCGCCTACATCATCGATCACAAGGTGGACACTATACACGAGTTCTTCCCGAGCGTGCCGCCAGGATATAAAATCAAAGAAGTGCCATCGTACGTCATCTACCTACCGATTGCAACGAAAACGATAGACCACCTACAGCTTCGAATAGTCGATCAAGACAGTGATTTGGTGAATTTTCAAGGAGAGGTCATAACAATAAGGCTGCATGTAAAATCCCATTAACGATGGGAATCGTATACAACAGACAGATCGGCGACGGCTATAATAGTAGACCCATATGTCGAAAAGACATCAGTCATCGTCCGCTTCTCAAAGCGTTGACACGTCAAAACGTGCTATTCCTGGTAAGTCTAGGACTCAAGGTCACGTCAAGAAGACCGTAAAACATTGGTTCTGCGGTTGCAGCATCGTTTGCCATGCAGAAGGAAACGTTGAACATTGAGACACCCGTAATCTTCGATGAGTCTATAGCACACTGTGAAACTTGTGACGGGTGAAGGAAGAATGCAAAGTCATAATTCAAAAGTTAGAATGGTTGATACCGTACATAAGAGTTTCGGATCGCCGGAAGATTGAGCTGCTCAGATTCATCGAGAAGGACGCGCCTATCTCCATGAGTTTTCGTACCTGGGAGTTATACGAATATCCACTTTTTCCCGCCACTTTGAAACACGTACGGACCGTCAAGACGTCGACGCAGCTGGGAAAACCCCGATACGTTATATTGGGATTCCAAACGAGTAGAAAGAATAAGAAAAATAAAAACGCGAGTCACTTTGATCATTGCAATGTCAGAGACGTTAAACTGTTTTTGAATTCGCAATGGAAATCTTAATCTTAACATTAGTCGCAATCAATTTGCTTTGTTGTAGGATATGCAAACTTTCAAGCTGCATACTAAGATAAAGATCCCTAGCCTCTGTTGACGAAGGACGAATTTTTGGAATATGCACCGCTGGGGCCCTATTCTCGAAACTGTGACCCTAGATATCGAATGCGAGAAACCTAGATGTCGCATGCGAGAACAAAAACGATATTCTTGAGTCCATCTCGCATACGACAATGAAGTCGTATACGAGAATTTTCGAACGTTTCATCTCGAGTGGGTCCTACCCACTTGAAGCTGGAAATCGCATATGAGAATTCTAGGGACAAACATACTTTTCCTTTACTCTGAGGTTATGTGACATGGTGGTTAGGAGAGCGCAATTGTCAAGAAAAAGATGGTAAGGAAATAAAAAGTGTAATTACACAAATTTCTGGTAAAATTTGACTGAACATAGGTAAATAGATTATAACAATGATTTAGTTGTTCGAAATTAGCACAAAATTGTAAATCGAAAATTAACTTACTATTAATTTAATTAAATTTATAGCAATAATGGATCCACAAAATATAGTAGCACAACTTCATATCGCTGCGCAATTGGAAAACGCTTATGATTTCGGTGAAGGACCACGTTTTCAAGAACGGGATGATGCATTCGACTTGCCAGAATGTCAGTTCGTTAAACTATTCAGGTTGAAAAAGGAAACGGCAGAACGAGTAATTAATATTGTAGAAGAAAATTCTACAGAACCGTAACGTTCTTCAGCTTCGGACGCAACTGTACAAGTGAGTTTAGATAATACGTAAAAGTTTATTTAGATAATTTAGATAGATTAGATTACCTAAATACATATATTTTGTTCTTAATAAAACGTTATTCTTCTGAAGGTTTTAACTGCATTACAGTTTTTTGCATCCGGAAGTTATCAAAATTGCATTGAATGTTAATATGGCAATAAGTCAACCCTCTGTCAGTAGATGCATTCACAATGTAACAAATATTTTGAATTTGCCACAAATTTTCGACAGTTGGATACATTTTCCAAGGAACATAGGGGAGGCAGAACAGTTGCGTAACAGGTGAGGGAGAACTTAACTTATATTTTGTATAGTAATGTCTATACATATTCTACTATATTTAGCTTACTTTTTCAGATTTTGGGTGGAACACCGCTTTCCTGGAGTAATTGGTTGCATAGATTGTACACATGTAGCGATTTTCCCACCTTCAAAAGATGACCAACAATTTCCGGAACATATTTACGTTAATAGAAAAGGATATCACTCGATTAACGTCCAGTTGGTAAGAAAATAAAATTATAAAATTAAACCAGACATTTATGTAGATAATGCTATTAAAATATAATTTGCAGATATGTGATCCAGATCTGAAAATAATAAATGTAANACTTAAGTATAATGATTTTTGGTACAAATATTGCACCTCAGTCTTCTTGCTAATTGCAGTCTATAGGAACCTTTTTGACGTTGTCGTTACTTACATTCATAAAGCTTATCCTACGTATTGCTTTTTTTCATCACTAATTGTTCTAATAATACGGTAATTTTCTTTTGCTATCACGCTTCTCTGCTTAAGCTCTAATTCAATTTTATATAGTTTCAGTTTTTCTTCGTAATAATTTTTGTTTACATCGTATTGTTGTTGAGAAATTGCAGCTAATTTCTCCGTTTGGTTTATCGATTTTTCAAATCTTTTTGCCGCATTTGTTTTCGGGATACCTTTTTTCTTATTTCTTGCCGGAATTTTTAGTGAGGTATTATAAGTTGTCGGGAACTCTTCTGTCATGACTGTTTCTGTATTTATCTGTTTTTTGTAATTGTTATTGACATCTTGATTTTCCTTATTTTCTTCGACATGTAATACGCTGGCATTTATATACTCATCCAGATATACAGTTTCGTAATTTTCAGAGTCATCACCCCAGTCCTGTCAAGAAAACGACATCGATAAGAACAAATCCAAGGGAGTGAATCACCTATAATAAAAAATGGAAATTGTCTGATTTTTTATCAGACGTTGCTGTTATTCCCAAGAAAGGAATTTAATTTCACATTTAATCCCATATTTCCGGCACTATATTTTCTTTAAAAAGTTATAGTAAAACATAAGAACGATTGCTTACAAAGTTTCCGGTGGATTCCTTAACGGTTTGATGACCTTCTGCAGCCGTTGTACCTATTAACGTTAAAACACGTTCTTCAAATTGTAATAATGTTTGGCCAGAAGGTCCACCGCCAGTTCCTTGCGTGTACTTTTTAATCGCTGCACTTTTCCCTTTCGTTGAAGTTCGGATATCTTGCCAAGTCTGTAAAGTTTCGCACCAAATACATGTGTTTTATCGGATGAAGGCACTATTGATAATTTGAAATAGTATTTGCTAATCCATTGTGACGGATTTTTGTCCGTCCCAGGACCACGACCGCAGTGGACGATACGGGATCTCCGGGAAACTCTAAGGATGGTGTGAGGAGACTAGTATAAGTGCCGTTCTGCTCCAGGACCCCTAGGCACCCGCGGGATCGAGCAAGGGGAGGGACGTGAGGAGGTCGAGGCAGGGGCCCAGACTCCCCAAAACATCCGGGGAGAGGGACCCCTCGTCCCACGGGGGGAATTCTGCGAGGTCACTGGGAGGACGCCCACCCGGAAAGCGGTACATGGACCAATTGAGAGTCTCCCAACCGGGTGGAGCGCTCCGACCGAGGAAGTTCTCCGGCAAGGGCCAGCGGTCTGGTGATCCCAGCGCCTCGATTCGGAGAGGATCGACCTGGTGAGGCCCGGAGGCGCCAAGAGATACGGGTGGCAGGCCTCGCGCGGTGGACAGGCCACAGCCACTGCCGAGGAAGCCGTGGCATTAGTTGATGGGTCGTCCTCCACCACCAAGGTCGGTCCCAGGGGGAGGCCCGCCGGCGGATTCCTTGTCGGCCTCGCGAATTCCCCTACCTCCTTCCGGGGACCCGGTGACAACCCCCGCGACCTCCAAGGTACCGAACGTCCCCTCCCCTGACTCGCCGGGTACGCCGAGGGGGAGAAATATGTCCGGATTTTCGGGTTGCGTAGGATTGTGTAGGAATTCGAAAAGAGAGTCTGACCCGAGTGAGTGCCGCGAGTGGATGTGTGAAGAAGAGGACCGAGGGCGAGGTGCCGGTCGATTGCTCCAGTGAGACATTAGGGTTCCCTTCACGTCCGTTCCAGGAAACTCCAGGGTGAATATGAAGTTCCATACGCTACGGTTCCGATCCGTTTGCCGTATCAGAGTCCCAGGGATCCCAATTTTGCGTCTATTGGTCGAGGCTCATGGCATTACGGACGCCTGCGCGTCCTATGGAAACCTGAGTACGATCACCGAAGGACCTCTTTTCCGGCCGCGATGTACGATCGCGTAAAAATGATGTACTAGAGTATCTGGGAACATCTGAGAATATACAACTTTCTTCATTTTTCGCTGAAGTGTAGCTTTTGTCACCTACTCCCTTAGGTCAGTTACGACCCCGACCCTAACTCTCTACAACTTACCTCCTGAGCGACACGGGACATGCCGTCCGAGTCCTCTCTCGCCGCCCTTCTCTCCGTTTCGTGACATAATTTAGGTGATAAGTTTTCTAATTACGAGTTACGATTCTACTTAGACCGGTTTGTTGGTTCCGGGGACACAAAAATCAACTGGCGCCCATTGGATAGTCGGAGAACGGGGAGGGAGGTGAGAGCGTGGATCGACGAAGGTGCGCGAGATTTTTCAGATGGAGGAAAAATCGCGTTACACTATGCATTGAAAAAAAGTATTCATCCTCCGGCAAGAAATTCAGAATTTTTCTCTTGTGTACAAATACCTTGAGTCGTCCATAGATGTCATGCGTACGTACCGTTCTCCATTGCTTCCACTCCTTTACAACACCCGGAATCGCGTTTAACTGTTCCGTCACTTCCTTCCATAGCTTTTGGGCTTGCTTGTGGGAAAAGGAGGCTGAAAACTTTCCTCTTCGTAATTCCGGGTGTTTCCCCATGAATTCTGTACTTAAAGGTTACTTAGTAAAACACTGTACTAATGCCTCAATAAGCAATGCCGACCTTTCAAGCCGAAAATTCATTACTTACCAATAAGATAATACTTCTGCTCTCCATTAATGTATCCTTGTTTTTCCGACGCTACTTTATCCGCCATATTGGTTTTTGTTTTCTAAACGTTTAATTGCGTGGCAATGTCTACTTGACTGTTAGATTACTGACACGGCTACAGCTTTCTTCTCAAACTTCATCGCTATTGGCTAATGATCTCTGTGGAACTGTGGCAACACCGCACGAATCTCGTATGCGGAATTCCTCGCATATTGCAACTCGAATGATAGTCAGGAATAGAACTCTCAAGCCGCATGCGAGATAAATTATGCAAGATTTTCCGCATACGAGAATTTTCGCATGACTTCAAGAATAAGGTCCCCGATCGCCATCGATTGTTCCACGAGTCCCTCAAGTTCGGTCAACGAAACGAGTCCCCGAAGCTCAGTGCGGTCGACATTCGTCTCGACTTCGAGGCGTAAAACAATTTTCTCGCCGAAACTTCGGCATGCTGCTTAATCCTCCACGATTATATCGTCGAGTACAACCTGATCAGTGGTGGGGTGAGGAAATTGGTATAAAAAGCTCCGATCGCCCCCCAATTGCATAGTAAAGAAATGGAATTCGTCGTGGACTTGCAGGGACTCAAGAAACCGTCGAAGAAGTTCGTTTTAAAGAAGCCGTCTCTAGTTGGAACCGATACCTATTTCACCGAACCTGTAACATTACTGTTTCGACCACCTTGCCCGTGAGAGTGTCTCCCAGTGAAATATAAATGCATCAACTTGTGGCTGGAACGCAATTTTCACGTGATACCCTGGAGCTCGGGCGACATACCGTACAGACGAGGTAAAAATCATCTTCGATCCATCTTACAAGACGCCGTCAGAATCTACGTCAAAGGATTGGAGAAGAAGAACTGGTAAGAGAAACTTGCGGGACATCCCGATCGCATCGTTCATCTCGGGGATTTAAATTGTCCACCGCTGCAAAAGTTGCAAAATAATACGAATACTCGATGTTTGAATCATAACGCGTCGCATTTCAATTGTTCGGCCGAAAATGTTAAATTGTTAAGAATTTGGTTGTAGGAAAATAAACACAGACAATGAAATAATTAATCGAGTATATATTTATTTGATACACACTACAACAGCACACTCCAGACATTGAAATTCAATTTGGTTATACGATCCACCAAGGTATCGTGTGATGAGACGATTTTCTTCGATAGCATTCATCATGTTCGAAAACATTTCGTTCTTCAACACCCTCACCATCCTTGCAGGCAGAAATACCGAGAAACCCTCGTCGATGTTTGCCAGCAATCTCGTTCCATATTTCGTCTGAACGTGCCGTATGCCGCTAAGTTTATAATCCGTGTTAATCTCCAGCTCGACCATCTTCTTCGTTGGCAGAAGATCTTCCAAGCGCCCGACTTTGTTGATTTTTGAGAAATCCATCATATAGACGAAGTTTCTTCAGGTTTTTTATAATACGTTCATGATTGTTTCTCTAATCGATTAACTGTTTCACCTCCGTGACAAGTCGAGGCGCACTTTAAGCTCGCGTTCTTTCCGAATATCTCTCATCGATCGACAGATCGTTTGATTAATGTATAAATCTCGTTACAACTCGCCCTTTATATAGGGAGAGACCTATGAAGGGGTAGGGGTTACCTGAAATCTCTACTGGAAGGCTGTTGAAAAATGTTTCCTTATGCTCGTGCGATCAACGTTCTAGAAAGACTCCAAAAGGTACCAACGAAATTTCTGGTATCGTCTCGCGGACGTCGGAACGCTATAAGCAGATTCCTGGAATCGACCGAAAGGAACGCGGCGGCTGCAAGGGCGAGGGGTCCCCGTTGCATCATCCCGGTCTCTCCGACGTTGCTCGACGTTTGAGCGCGTGGTCGAATGTTCTAGAATGTTCTAGACCGTTCCAGAACTTTCCGGGGGCGGTTACGAAAACGTTACTCGAGGCGTCTCGCGGGGTTCGCACGCGCGCAAGCAACTTAGCATGGACACGTACCCTCTTCCGGTGGCGCCATCTGTGAACGCTTTGGTGAACTACCTCGAATGTGGGGGAAATTCGCGGTATTCTAGTCAAATTCCCAGAATTCTAGGCAAAGTCTCGGAAATAGAGGCTCGACGACGGGTCCGATGACGTCATTTCACGCTCGATGACGGGCAGATAGCATGGACAAGAACCGTCGGGAGTTGTCAAGATGTCGGTAACATGTCGTGCAGGAATCTGTATCCAGAACCGCCACTGTATGTCTACTTTTTATTATTTTTAAATACGATATTTTCGATTTTTTTAAAAATACATAGCGAGAATTCTTCGCTAGCGGAACCACTCTAAAAAATATAGAAGACGCAAACGTTGATTGAACTTTAAGAGGTATAGTTTCGATTGACATTTTACCAAAGTAGCCGTCGCCTTAAGTTTCGCTGGCCTGCAATGAGGCAAATCCGCTACCGCGTACGCGGTGATAAGAATCGACGCTAAGGTCCTTCTCTGAGGTGTGGAATTACATAACGCTCTGCCACCTTCAAATGTACTCTAGCGAACATGAATGCTTTCCATGATGCATCGGCGGCACCGTACTTCCAAGGAAGGCATTCATGTCCAGCACTGTACAACGTCAACTGATTTAACTGGGAGACAGTCGTACGCTGAGATGGGACCTCGTGTTCCGAGGAACCGCGAACCGTATTTTCAGTAGGATTCATTTCTGGGGAAACGTCTATGATTAAAACGGAATAAAATTGGCCGACAATGGATACAAAAATTGTAATGATCGTTGCTAGATCGTGAAATGTAATGCTTTCGTTTCTTAAATACGTAGCGAGAAGTCCTCGCATACGAGCGCGCAGCCACTCCGGCAAAGTTGCTGACACCAGACCTCGCAAACTCATACGATTATTACTCTATATACAATATAGAAGACGCAAACGTTCCTGCGTCCTGAATCATCTTTCTAAGGTTTTTATACAGCGATTTTTGTTCGAATGATTACTTCGCTCGTCGCTCGTGTTTTGGTAACATCGAGGTAATAAAGAGCATTTGAGATTTTGTCTCCCTCCCCCCCCCCCCCCATCCAATTAACCCGGAAAAATAACGAGTGGAGCAACCAACGAGGAATGTTTTGGGTTTACTGCACGTCTTCCGCATCGAACTGCACTCTGGACCAAGAGACGGGGCCTACTCATCCGTTAACATAGTGGCTTCCTAATCACGTCCGATCAAGCCCCGAGTAAGAAGATCCAAAAACAAGGAAACTGGACCCTCTCTCCACGGGCATCTCAAGGATAAGATTCCATATAAAAACTTGACCGAAAAAGAGTACAGGGCTTTTCTGAGAAGGTCTGTCAACCACTCTTCTGCTAAGACCCACCTCTCAGACAGTCCACACTCTGTGCGGCTGTGGTTCTCTGAAGAGCTGACCGTACTGTTTGTAACAGTTGTGCGTTTCGGTATGCCAACATCCACAAGCCAACAATGAGAAGAATGACGGCGCTGCGAATTCCGGATCAGTGGGAGAATCTTAGAAGGCTCCAACCCGAGGGTACGCTTCGGTTTGAAGCCGTTCACTCGCAATTCATCGCAACCGGCTGGATGTTGGAGAGACGTCACCAGAAGTAAAGGCCTTTGTGAATTAAAGGTACAAGTTCTCTTCAAAGAGCTCCACTCATTCACTCTTTCACCCTTTATTACTCTCATTCGAAATCTTTTCCAAATTACTAACCCGCAACAAAATTGGGTATTCACCTTCCAGTAACGACCACTGAATTCTAATTCCTCGTAGTATAAAATCGCAACTCATTAGCTACCCTTGCTGAGTAAGGTAAAGCGCACCTTGCAAGCGAAAAATCTCGCGTCAGCATTCCGCAATTGGTACGCGGACATATATCGTTACACTTCCGCGGGAAGCTAGCGCGCGGCGTCCTTGTCTCATCTCGCGACGATCCGCTTAGCACAGCATATCTTATGCACACCTTGCCCCCATGGATATTGTACACCTTAGATTACAAATAAAACTGTTCAATTGAAAAATAAACGATGACTTATTTCTGTAGAAACCTTAAAAACCCTCCTGTGTTCTCATTGCAACTTTCGAATCCCCCTTTGAGGACCAGAAACCTATTGATCCCTCCAAAGAGGTTGACCTAGCCGCTCGGGTTATCCTCTTCGTATTTCTCAAGTCATATGCTGGTTACGCGTGCGTACGAGTTAATTCTTCTACAATCACTATACCGCTGGGAGGAATCTGCAAAATTTTCCCAGTCTCGCTAACCACTCGGCCGTCACGTAACAGCAGAATTTCTTCGTATTCCTTGGCGAGGACTAGCAGATCTTGTGTGGTACTCTGATCGTAAATTCTTGTATATTCGGTTGAGTGTCTGTTCAGTACTCATGCCGCCATTTCTCCTGATAAGCATCTGTAGGTGGGTGACGAATGGTCGCGCCTTTTCGCCTGCTTTCTGGAGTCAGGTTCTGATTTGGTCGTCTAGTGCTTCTTTGGCGTCTTAAGGCAGGGACGCTCTTTGGAAAGCCTGCGTCAGCTGGCTCCATGATGTCCAGCATTTTTTGTTGTTTCGGGTCCATAGTTGGGCTTCTCCCCTAAATAGTTCTGGGGTGCCTTGCAACATCTCTTCATTTCAAATTCGGTATGCTGCCTGTTGTCCCTCTGTTCGTTCCCTGAACTCGTACAAGTCCTTCCCGTTGAACATGCAGTTCCATTTCCACATCTTTTCTATCGGCAGGTTACGTTCTTCCCGGTTGCAGTATGGGTTGGGGCCGATATCCGGTTTCGTCTCTGGTGTCTGGTGTTACTGGTCCTCCTGTGTTCCATTTTATCCGGTCATCGCTGCTGACGTTTCTGCACTAGGTTGCGACCACTCCTGGATCCGGATATCTTCGAAGTGGTTGTCGACGTACTCCCTGAACCGAGTCCTTCGTTCGTCCAGGGTGCCTAACGTATTCAAACCGAGAGCTTCGATCTCGACACGGGGTCGCTCTTTCTGATGGTCTAGATCCATGATATAGACATCCTGGTTTTCGTACCCTTGGTACAGTGCTTAAGAACTAGCTTCTACGTGG